TTCTGCGCTTCCACGTATGCGCAGAACGCATACAGCGCCTGCGCGATCCTCCAGGAGCAGCTGGAGCATCGCGCAGACACTGGTACGCATGCGTGTGCCGCGTGTGCGAGGACGCCGCCGGCCTCGTTCCAACTGAACCGGTTGGAACGGGGTGAGAAACCCACCCCTGCTGATGAGGTATGTCTTCCCTGGCCCTTCACAAGGCAGCTTGGCCACATGAGGTCATCTTCCCCACATAACATTTCTGTGTGCAACCTTAGGAAGAAATTCTTGTGAAATCAACAGCTGCCTTGCAAAGGACATGGCTGGGCATGCTTGGTCAGTAGCAGAAGATGTGAAGGACAGCAGGGGTGGCAGAATGTAGGAAGTTAAAAGGGTATAGATGGAAAAGGAGATGAGTGGGAGCGAGGGGAGTTAATTTGCTACTATGTTCATAAATGTGGGCAGGCTGCCAGGCACCCAATTTTTTATAATAGGGGCGCTGAAGCAGCTGTATTCAGTGCCTCTGTAACTTCAAACGGGCACTGAACAAATGGTCATAAGTTGAGGTGCATTTGATACCGATGTGTACTGCTGTTAGGGCACATGGTATAGTGAGGATTCCATCTCTGCTTCTTTGACACTGATTGAGTAGTGTTACAATGTACACTACTACTTTTAAATGCATTCAAATCCAAAGCAAAATTTTGAGCCAAGGCTGTAGAATAGAATATCTGAATGGTAGACAATATTGTAGCTTCTAAAACATATTGCTTCAAAACATCCCTGTTGATTTGTATTGAAAAGTCATTATAGGTAATACAGATAATTCTCAACTTATGACCACAATTGAACTCATAATTTATGTTGCTAAGTGAGACATTTGTTAAGTGAGTTTTGCCAATTTTATTATCTTTCTTGCTTCAGTTGTTCAGTGAATCATTGCAGTTCTTAAGTTAGTAAAATAGTTGTTAAATGGACCTGGCTTCCCTATTGACTTTGCTTGTCGAAGGTTCGCAAAAGGTGATCACATGACCCCAGGATACTGCAACTGTCATAAATATGGTTCAGTTGCCAAGCCTTTGAATTTTTATCTTGTGACCATGAAGATGGTGCAACAATTATAAATGTGAAAAACGGTCACAATTTCAGTGCAATTGTAACTTTGAATGGTCATTAAATGAATTCTTGTAAATTGAGGACAACCTGTATGTATCTGGTTTGGTTTGGATTTTGGTTTGGTCCATGCCAATCTTCCCTGAGATCTGTGGGATTTCCAGAATTCTCAGTCTACACAATATGAATATACATGTGTTTGTGGATATGCATTGTGACTTGCTTCTGCTCTGACCACTTCTGAGAAATACACCACCTTCTGCAGGAGGTGTGTACTTCAGTGGACATAGTGCTTGTACAGTTTAATATTTCAGCTGAAATAGGCACAGATCTTGCTTTCATCAGCTGAGTGCCAAATAGAAATATATGAATGTGTAACTGATGGGATGGCTTTAGGCTCAATTTTCATTGTACTTTTAAAATGCTACAAAGGTCTCTATACAACATAAGGGCAATCATCCCTTGAGCTTTATTTACAGCTAGTATTTACTTCATGTTGAAAGAATACTGACAACAATTTACGTTGGTTGAGTAAAAATTGGGTCCTTATTCTTAAATTATGATAATTGTACTAAAAGGTTGATGCTCACATATCTTTTGAAAAAGTTGTCACAGAATCACTAGATTGTAATTGCCAAAGAATAGATTTAATGGTTTGTGGAAATGTAAGGACATGTATTTTCACTTCAGTTTCATGATTTTTTTACAGAATTTGCCTGTTGTGTTACTAACATTTGACCTTTGAGATACGTTTTTCAATAGTATTTAAACTGTTCAAAATAAAATGGCCATGTGTGCAAGATTTGCTTTGAACTCTGAAACTAGGAAATACAGGCCTTGGCTTAAAAAAGATATCAATACAATAATCTGTGACTTAGGTACGGTACTTCCTTTTGAACTAAGTAAAGGAAGTTTGACAATATTTGGATTTTGTGTCCTATTTGGGGACTCATTTAGAAAGTCTTTGAACAACAGATAATTAAAGCTTTTTTAATTGGATCATATGAATTGGGGTGATTATTAATACAAAGGTGGACATGTTTTTTTTATTTCTGGTTCAGCATGGTAATACAGATGAACATTTGGCTACTTTAAAGGGCATGTTAGTTAATGGTGAGAGGCCTTCACTGTTTTGCTGGAAACTGAATTATACAGTATGGCATGTCACTGTAGCCATATACTATTAAACTCTTGTTCCCATAACCTTTAACTACAAAACAGTGCATTGTAGAGCAACAATTTTGGAACCAAGGTATCTTAAGTGTGCTAGTTTACAGAATGCATCCAAAATCTGGAACCCATCTCATGAAATTGAAATTTGGCAAATTTTGTAAAAAATGTATGACAGAATTATTATAAAGATTTTATGACACAGTACAAAATATCAGAAAAAATGTGGTCACCTCTTGATCTGACTGTGCTATATAGTCCAACACAGGCTATTTTCAAGGCAGTTATCTCCCTGAATTCTTAAAAACATTTAAAGTACATTAGGAGCTCTACCATTGTTGAAGGTGTTGAGGAATCTAGTAAGGAAATATCTCTGAAATAATGCCTCAATGTGTCATGACTCCTCTAGTCATTTCTCTTCTCTGTGTCTTTCCAGGTGTTTAGAACAGACCTGATCACTGCTATGAAGCTGCCTGATTCTTCCCAGCTGAATCCTGATGAGTATTATGTGCTGGCAGATCCCTGGAGACAAGAATGGGAGAAAGGTGTTCAGGTGCCAGTCAGTCCAGGGACTGTACCAGAACCAGTAGCCAGGTATATTTTGGTGCAGCCAATTACAAAAAGGAAACAAACCCATCCCCCACATCTTTTAAAACAATTTAAAAATAATTAAACTTCGTTAAACTGAAAATGTAGTGTTCCATAATTTGGATTTATCTCAGAGTATATATGCTGTCTGTGAAAAAGAAGTCAGGGTCTTAATCTTCTTTAGGATTAATATTAATAACTGGATTACTTTCCTTTATTGAAAAGTGATATAAGAATTAATGAACAAGAACTCAGCATGTCCATTGTTTGGTTGGTGGCATTGTAATAGATTTTCTGATAGTTCCATAATACGATTGCTATATGACATTGAATACTTACCAGCAGCTGATTTTTCACTGTTAAAGTACTGCAGCAGTATCATTTCAGGTGGCAGATGTGAGCAAAACCTTACTCAACAGCAGATTTACTACTCACAACTTAAGCACTTTACATGGCAGGCTGAGGACTTATTTTTAACTTGATGCAGTGGCAGAAGGAAGTCTGTACTGCCAGAAAAATAGTTCCTTCTAACCAGAGATTGGCTTTAACCTTTTAGAAACAGTACAATTTGTTCCTATATCAGTCCAGACTTCATAAGCAAGTAAATGCAACTTTCTCACATCTGAATTTGAAGCATTAATTGACAATTCAAACTGGAAAGTGGCATGGAACACAGGGGCAGCAGTTCTAGAGAAATGAACTCTAAATCTTAACAAAGTAGATGTTTTGATAGATATTCTAGGTAATCTCCGTACAGAGATTAAATCTGACTTGTATTTTTTAAGAAAGTTTGTTTCTGGGTGTGTGTGCATAAAAATTCAAAGCTGTTTATAATAAAACTCAACTAATTTCTACGAGCAGCAAAAATATACTTTGCAGAATTCTTAAATATTTTATCACACATCTAAGATGAACCCTTATTAGTCAATACATCAATAAAAATGTATATATCTGGTGTTTTAATTTAAATAGTGTAATAAATTTAGGAAAATGAGAAGCTCCTGAATTCTTTCTAGATTAGATTATCTGCTTGAATCAGGAGCACATGCAGAGCGCTTTAGGCAAAGGTTTTTCATGTCACCTGCCACTTGTTCCTTTTAAGTAGAAATAGTAAGAAATAAACCACACACATTCTGCATGCTGTTTTGTTTTCTTAAGTTTAAAAGAGATTCACTTTTAAAACTATTCATATTGGTGACTTTGAAATCTAGAATGTTGATTAATATAGTGTAGAATTTAAATATTATAAAAGGTAATGTGAGCAGTTCAGGGAGATTTTCATAGAAGGGTATGTGAAATTGCTTTAGGTAAAGAACAAAACAATTGCATTTTTAATATATATAATGGTTACTCTTTGATCTCATTGTGAGGGATATCCTATGATGTATTCCTGTGGTTTTTAGTCTAAATTAATTTACTTCAGCATGCAAATTCAAATCCAGGTGTGATAGATGGATTTCAAATAACATTTTTAAAAAAGTAGAGTAGCCTGTATTCTGATCTTCTAATGTGACTATAACTAATTTTGTTTAGATTCTATCACAAAAATATGATGAATAAATACTGAAATGAATCAAATATGTTAACCTGTACTTAATTGCAACTACCTTGGTCTTGTTTATTCTTCTTCCTTTTTTTATACACACCATATGGATGCCTATCCCTATTATTTCATACATCTTAAATTGGTTATAGAAGGGGGATTTCCTAATTTATTGGAGAAGTCTAGGCCAGCGATGGTGAACCATTTTTGGCTTGCGCGCAATAAGCAGGGGAAGTGCAGGGAGGTTGTGTGTGGGCGTGCCGCACCCATTATGCAATGTGTGACCCTCCCCAGCACGCATGCACGCATGTTAGGCACTCCCCCCATTTTTTGCATGCTTTTTTCACCCTCCCCAGGATCCAGAGGCTTCTAGGAGCTGGCCAGCTAACAGGGCAACGCCTTGCATGCCCTGAAAAATGGCTCCGCGTGTCACCTGTGGAATGCATGCCATAGGTTCGCCAGCCCGGCTCTAGGCTTTCCTGCTTTCCATATTTGTAGAACTACTAATGTAGTAAATACTGTTAGAATTTGTGATCGTTCAGAGGTGCCTGGCTATTAAGCACTCCTTCCATACACAGTTCTGCTCCTGATACATCCATATAATGTGAATTTTTATTGTGTAGTGATGGATTTGTCTAGTGTGGGAAAGTGGAGGAAAAAGTATTAAGTTTTTGGCAGTATTTGATGCTTGGATCTGTTCTTATATTAGGACTCATGCCCTAAAATCTTAATACCATCTGTCAAGCTATATTACATAATTATTGACAATAATAAATTTTAATTTTTCTTTGTAGTTGCAGAAAGTTTTATCACATGCTACCTATGCACACTTACCAGTATGTAAATTTCACTGGAGTACTATATTTGTAGATTCTGTAATAGTGAAATTGCACTGATTTAATTTCATGGCTCAACGTATGATACCGACAGACCTATAAATTAGAAATCTGAGCCGCTCTCCTTCTCCAAGGTTCTTATATTAATACTACTATATATTGATCGTTCAAAGTTACAAGAGCACAGAAAAAAGTGACACAACTATTTTTCATACTTACAACCAATACAGCATTTCCATGGTCATATCAAAATCCAGATGCTTGGCAACTGGTTCATATTTATGATGGTTGCAGTATCCCAGGATCATGTGATCACCTTTTGTGACCTGAAAAGCAAAGTCAATGGGGAAGCCAGATTCACTTAACAACTTGGTTACTAACTTATCAAATGCAATGACTCACTTAACAACACATAACAACTGTGGCAAGAAAAGTCTTAAAATGGGATAAAATTCACTTAACAAATGTCTCACTTAAAAACATAAATTGTGGCTTCAATTGTCGTACGTCAAAGACTACCTGTATAGGTAGTCCTCGATTTACAATTCATTTAGTGACTCTTCGAAGTTACGACATTGGAAACAGTGATTTATGAGCAGAAATTACAATTGCGATTATAAAATATAAAAACCCTTATATATGCTTATAAGGGTATGCATAATAAAATACCAAGGGACGCGGTGGCTCAGTGGCTAAGACGCTGAGCTTGTTGATCAGAAAGGTCAGCAATTTGGTGGTTAAATCCCTAACTCTGTGTAATGGAGTGAGCTCCCATTACCTGTCCCAGCTTCTGCCAACCTAGCAGTTTGAAAGCATGTCAAAATGCAAGTAGAAAAATAGGAACCACCTTGGTGGGAAGGTAACAATGTTCTGTGCGCCTTTGGCGTTTAGTCATGCCGGCGACATGACCACGGAAACATCTTCGAACAGCGCTGGCTCTTCAGCTTTGAAACTGAGATGAGCACCGCCCCCTAAAGTCAGAAACGACTAGCACATATGTGTAAGGGGAACCTTTACCTTTATCTTATAATAAAATAAAATAAACATTAAAAGAAAAAAGCTTTTTTAATTTTTAAACATCCATGCATGATATTTATTTTACATGCTATGGTAGTGTCTGAAGCCTTTCATTTGTTGCTACCACCAACTCCCCTGGAAATATAATGCCAAAATTACAGTAGAAAAATAGTGACTTTAGATGAATTTCTGACATAATTAAAATAATAAAATATTCTAAAATTATTAACTCCTCTGCAATAGTATTCCCAATTGAATGGTGCTATAACAAAATTGATTTAATACTTCTGCCTATGGTGACACAAAATAACCAGAAAATATCTTGTCTCCTTGGCTTATTTTTTGTTACTGAGATATTATGCCTTTTTAAAATACCTTATAAAATACCTTCAATATTTTATGAAAATATTGAGAGTCTAAGTCAAGAAAAAAATAAGCTTTAAAGAATGGCAAAATCAGAAATAATGTATTTTCTTGTTTGGGGCGGGATGGAATATATTGTAATTCAAAGGCTTCAGCAATAGCTGTATGGAAAGACTGAGGTTTTGGTACTTATAGAAGGATTACTGCAATGAACACCTGTTTGCTACACTTTCAGGATTGTGTCTGAAACAAAAGCTGTTGTATTTTCAAGACCTCGGAAATATATCCTGTCTTCAGGCTCTGAGCCCCCTGAACTTGGATATGTTGACATTCGAACGTTGGCAGAGAGTGTATGCCGCTATGACCTTAACTACATGGATGTAGCATGGCTGGAACTGGCCAATGAAGAATTCAAAGAGATGGGTAAGTGCTAGTTCCAGTTACAGCCCCAGATTAGAGAAGTATCAGGGAAGAGTTGAGGTAGGGTTTCTGAACTAGCCAGCATACTATATGCGGCTCATTTGTAGTTTCTGGATGGAAGAGGTAAGGACAAAAAGTGCTTACAAACAAATTGTATGTGGTTGGGATGGGGGATGGTTTTGAATGGAAAGTTTAGCAGAAATAAAATAAACTTTCTGAATTATTAGATGTTAATATCTCAGACATATAAGTTAGGATTTTTGAGATTCACAGAAGTCTGCAGGAAAAGGAAAGCATATTAGGAACACCAGTTCCTGATTAATATTATGTGAATTAATAAAATAGTCGTGCTGTTTAGGATTTGGTATCTAAAAACGTGGGATGATACTAGATGCAATCATAGCAATAGCAATAGCAGTTAGACTTATATACCGCTTCATAGGGCTTTCAGCCCTCTCTAAGCGGTTTACA